TTGCCTTACTTGATTTAAAAAAAAACAAAAGAAATGCAATTCATTAACACCATTGCAGAGAAAAAGTTACATTAGGACTACAAACTAGGACATACATAACTAATCAAGTGCTATCAAGCACAGACCCCTGAACCCTGAGTTGTAGTTTTTAAAGCAAATAGATCTGATTTGTATGATCCCCTTGGCGAACTGGTGTGAAGTTAAGGTTTTGGGCTGGGGGGGAAGGTGATGGATGCTTGTTTGTGGGGGCTTTGCTTGTTTGTTGTTGTTTTGTTTTTGTTGTGTTTTGTTGGGGATTTTTTAATGTGGTTCCTTTTTGTTTGTTTGGGTTGGTTTTTTTTTTTAAATACTTGCAGAGGATAATTTTTTTTTTTCACTTGAAAGCTTTAGGTAACATAAAATAACTGAGCATCTTCCTATATCTAATGACTTTTTAAATCCAGGTAAGAACTGGTGAAATTAAAATTCACCAAAAATCCAATCCAAGCATAACAAACCTCCACAGCAAGGTGAAGGAGGTTTTTCAAACATAACTAGTGAAATGGAAGTGAAGAGTTCTGTTTGTTGTTGGTTGGTTTTTTTCCTAGACTTAAGGGAGTTTCTACATACAGCTCTTGTTTCATAGAATGGCTTAGGTTGGAAGGGATCTTAAAGATGATCTAGTTCCAACCCCCCTGCATGGGCAGGGACACCCACTAGAACAGGTTGCTCACAGTCCCATGCAGCCTGGCCTTGAACACTTCCAGGGAGGGGTCATCCTCAATGTCCCTGGGCAACCTGCTCCAGTGTCTCACCACCCTTACACTAAAGCATTTCTTCCTAATGTTTAACCTAAATCTCCCCTCTTCCAGATTTGATTCATTACCCCTTGTCCTCTCACTACATGCCCTGGTAAAAAGCCCCTCCCCAGCTTTCCTGTAGGCCACTTCAGGTACTGGAAAGCTGCTATGAGGTCTCCCCTGAGCCTTCTCTTCTCCAGGCTGAACAACCCCAACTCTCTCAGCCTGTCCTTGTAGGAGAGGTGCTCCAGCCCTCTGATCATCTTTGTGACCCTTCTCTAGACTTTTTCCATGCAGGATACAATTTTTTCAGATGACAAGGGTATGCAATGTTACAAAGGTGCATGTTAAGTTTAATTATTTCTAATGCAACAGTTGTTTAATCTAGCTTTAAACATTAGGCTTATTTTCTTTTCATACCAGTAGTGTTGCTTTTTGTTAAATCACTACAGATAAGGGAAAAGTATGGAGTTAAATGGTTTTAACTTACCTTAGTTGGAAGAGTATACTTCCCATCAGTTAAAGGAACACTTTGAACATCTCCACACGAGCCACACACAAAAGCCAGCTTAGTGCAGAGAGGCTTAATGTTACTGACACGCACAACAGTGCCACGCAAGGCAATGTATTTTCCATAGCAGTTGGCCCGAACATTTTTCAGCTGAGTTAGTGGATCATAGTTGTACACCCTACACAACAGTTAAGCATTAACATTTTGAAAGCTTACCATACTTAAATGCAGAGCAAAAAATCCACCAAAACCAACCGAAGAAAAAAATCCCACACCAAACAACAAAGGTTTGCACACCAATTATTTACAGTAATCCCAAGCAATGATTAGATCCATTTGTGGACCCATTGCATAGTCTTTGATTCCTGTTCTACAAAGCAGTATACCATATAATATTCCCCAAGTGTATATACCTCAACAGCTGTACAGTTTGTTTGTATAGTGACACCTCCCTTCTGGAAACAACTGAGACTAGCAATACAACAGAAATTACTTTCTAGTCATCTATAACTGCCTCTTTGAATTATTTCAGATTAAGAGCAGAGTTTACTCTTGTGACACAAAAGGATGGAAGATTTATTATGCCTGTGCTCCAAAAACAAGGGTGAGTTTTCATATTTCAAGGACATATGAACTTGTCATCAGGTACAACACACTACACCTTGTTAGGGTTGACAAAAAAATACCTAGCCAAATAATTAAAAATAACCAGCTTTAAACAGAGTCATTTATCATGGAATGGACCACATAAGACTGTCTAGTCCAACCCCGCTGCTCAAGCAGGGTCCACCCACTAGAGCAGGTTGCCCAGGCAAGTGTCCAGTTGAGTTTTAAATGTGTTCGCAGATGGAGACCACACAATCTCTCTCACAGTAGAACAGCATTTTCTTGTGTTCACATGGAATTTTAAGTGTTTTAATTTGTACTCACTGTCCCTTGTCTTGCCCCTGGGCACCAACGAGAAGAGTCTGGCTCTGAAAATCCAGGGTTTTCCCTGCTCTATCTGCTTAGCACCCTGAACACCACCATCTCATTGTTCAATCCTGCCTATGCTGCAGAACCATTTTCTGAGCATGATGTTTCATTGACTTGTTGAATAGTTTCCTCTACAGGAAAATGGTCCATAACTGTCTGTTAGAATTTGAGAGTTTGTATATACCTTTTTTGGCCACAGTTTTTTCTGAAACACATTCTACTGTGTAATTAAAAGGGTGCAGTTTTATAATAAATAAAACTTCAAAATATGTCATAGTGTGACAAACTCCCAAATTAAATCTACCATGCTGCTTTCCCATACCAAACCAGCATCAGCAGCAAAAATCAAAACAAACCAAACTGAAATAGAGCTTATAGTCCCAGTCCCCCTCAGATTCCTTAAGTCTGAGATGCAATAACTTCTGACAAAGAAAAAAAAATAGTAATTGTGCTAGGGGTTTTCTTCATTAGGAATTCAAATGAAATCGCATTTTTAAAATAATAGTCATGAAGATTCTTGTAAATACATGCTTTTTCAGAATTAGTATAACCTCAGCTTAATTTCAAATTAAAGTTGAATAAATTAGAATTAGTATTCTCAAGACTTTCTACTAATAATCCTTTTATACATGTAAGCTAATATGAAATAACAAATTCTTACACATCACTGTCAAAACTTCCATAAAAGGAATAATAAATATTACTAGTTGTAGTTTGTGTCTATAGACTCCAAATCAGCCTCCCATGAAGATAAGCCTTTTGCTAACAAAATGCTAGATCATAATGCCTTCCCAATTTCCCCAGTAAACAGCAGAAACTGAAATACATGTCTCTGGTTTTAATCAGTAAGTGTTTCACAGGGTAGTTGTTCTACTTATAAACTACTTTTCTCCTTATAAGATTTTCTAGTTATAAGCTGTTTGTTCAGCTTACAAGCAGGTTTCATTTAGTTTTTGTCTTCACAGTGACAGTTTAGCCTTTGTCACAGTGAAGATAAAAAGCAAAACATACACTGTTTTTCTGGAAGTAGCTTCACAGTGGCAAGTCTCTCCATAAAATAAGTAAGGCTTCAGCACCATGCATGGAGGCTGACAACCAGCAGACAAGAGGCAAATACACCCTTCAGAAAACAAAACAGACTCAACACCCATTACCTAGCATGAATGAGAGGCACATTTATAATAGGTTCTCCATCAAGTGGCAATCCCTCCTGCACCTGCAGCTCTGCAGCATGCCTTTCAAGGTCCTTTGTTAACACCTAGACAGAACAGAAAGGCAGACAAGAAGGCAGCATGGATTCAGTTTGCTATTGATTACCACCCCGTGTTAGACCTCCAACTAAAGCGAAGTCTAAAGAGCCCTCTGCTGTCCAGTCACCCCCACTACACAGTGTTTTTCTGCTGAACACTTTTAAGCTTCATTTAAAACGGAATTTAAAACAACAAATGGAATTTAAAATGAACATATTTTTGTGTTTGCTTGTTAAATTAAGAAAAAAAGGCAAAAGGAATCCACACAGCAACCTTTAATGCTGGTCAACGTGTGGAGTTCTATTTGACCGTAGCATAAACATCTGGCCAACAAATCCCTGTCAACAAAGCCAGAAATCCTTGACTCTGCTCACTGTTCACTGTCCAGAGCCACGGTTCTGCTGCATGAGGTGGGACACACAGCACAGGTAACTGACAGTAATTTTTTTAAAAACCCAACAAACAACAAAACAAAAAACAGGAACTGGAACTCCCAATAGGGAGTAACATGAATGTTGGAACTACACTTAGTTTTAGTCAACTGCTTGGATGATGAATAAGCAAAATGCGCCAAAACTGAAGCATTTTCAAAACACGATTTTTTAGACCATACAGAAATAGTGGAGAGATGAAAGAGTCTGAGTTTTGAATATAGAGTAAATTTCTGTAAGACAGAAAAACAGAGTTGGGCTTTGTAAGAAAATTTCCTCTTAGTCCCATTGATGTTTGTTCATTGTGAAAATTGCAATTGTATGTATTAGAACATCATATTTACCTGATGAATTGCCAGACCCATGCACTGCAGTATTTTCTGAGGCATATCCCTTAATTCAGTAGATATATTTGGTATGGATTTAGTTAATTCTCTGTCTTGTATCAGTTCCTTATAATCAACAAGAATGCTTCCTTTTCTTTCTATTTCGTCCTGTTGAACATTTTAAGTTATTAGCTACACCTCAAATTATAAACATAACACATCCAAATATTTCCCTAAACATTTCACACCTATGATGGAGAAAATACCCAAAGCCTGTCATGTAACTGTATAGATAACAGGTTGCGGGGGGGAAGGTGTTTTGTTTTCCTTTTACCTTATCATAAAGCTCAATGCGCTGCATGAAAAACTTTTCAAAGGCTTGAGTCTTCTGGACAAAAGGAGACTTGTCAACATAAGCTAATTAGAAACACATTGCATTAGTAACTGACATACATAATGAAGTCAATTTCACAAAATAACCCAAACAGGCAATTTGTCTTCCATTACTTGTCTGAATTCCAAAACTGAGGAAGATGACAGACCTCTAGAGTACCACAGTAATGTTTTAAGACCTGTTACAAGCCAGAACTTAGTCTAAGATGACACAGGCCAAGCACAAAGGATAAAAAAAAAAAAATCACAGCAGAGGTATCTAGTTCCAGCCTGACAGATGCAAGTTGTATGGGGCTAATTACATAGGTTTAAGAATGTATTTTACACTATTCAAGATGGCTTTCCAAGTTTTGGAGCTCAAAGATTACAGGATGCAACAAAACCAAAATCTCTACTGTATTCAAGTATTTCTGTAACAGATACAAAGTTCTGTTTCTTTAGGATGAACTTACCCCCTCTACTTATAACCAGTTCCAGGGGGAAAAAAAGAAAAAAAGGATAAAATATATAATTTTGGTCTAAAAATACCTTCAGAGAAATAAAGTTTCCAGCCCTTATAGGGAATAAACTGGTCCAACGTCGATTGGACTAGTCGAGACCTTACTGAAGAAAAAAAAAAAATTAAAACAGGAATTAAAACTCGCAGATAC